GCAGAGGCCAAGAAAGCCAAAGCCTCACAGAGGGAGCAATGTTACCATAACACCTGCGAGGCATGGGACATGGTAAAGGGGAGGATTTGGAGCCACACAATTAGCCCATAAGGCTTTTGGTGTCCTGCCAGGGGACTGAGACCAGTGAGGACTAGTGGAGGGCCAGGGGGCCCTAGTGGAGGTTCAATGGAACCAGAGCTATGCAAAGGTCTGTGGGAAGACTTCCTATTTTATTTCCATCATGGTGTGGCAGGAAAGATAGGAGGGTGCCCTAGAGGTGGATTGGGGCATGGTTGCGGAGCCAGTGGGCACCATGGCCATCCCTGGGACCCCAACATGTTACAATCTGGAAGGTGAATCTAGACCAAATTTTTCTCTTAAGACTTTAAAGCTTTTTCCTAGATGCTCACTACTCTGGTGCCAGTTATTTAAAGTTCACTCTGCACCTAAATTAGAAGTTCAACACCATGATGGGCACAAGTGCTGCTTCTTTCACTGAATGTGTCTATTGGATAGGTAACTAGAGATCCTTCCCTACAAGAAATATGCCGCAACACTTTGAATGAAAGGGCATTTTTCAGGCTTCCATTCTTTATTTATACATGGTCACATTTCATACTAAAAAGGTAGCTTCACTCTTCATATATAAAAGCACATACTCAAATCCAGTAGAACTTTAGGAGATGGTCTATTCAAAAGAAATTTCCACTCAACAAACAAGTATAGGCTTCTTCAATGCCAAGAGAGCACTAGGTGATCATTAGCTTATTGCAAAACAAAAATGTGTGTGCCTGTGGAATGCATGTTATAAAACCTTTACGAGCCAGCTGAATCAAAATCTATTTTCACTAGACAACTGAAAAGTACAACTACAATGTAAAGACTATCCTAGATACTTACTTATTCCCTGTTTGTTTTGTGGTACAAAACAAGTTTAGGGTATTTGGCTACCATAGCATCACCCAGATTTCACCCACAACTGAGAACCTACTTCACTGATGCTTTCACATCCTAATTTTTTATCTGTTTTTTAAATTCATGTGAACAAAGCTGATGGCTCATCTGCAGGCCAAGATGAAACCAGAAAAGTACTGTGTAGACTTTCCAAAAGTGTCAAAGTGATTCACAGGAGTTTAAGTCCAATTTACAAAAATAACCTAGGCAGCAAGGAGCCTAATTACCACTGAAGTCCCACAGCCCTTCCCAATCTATGTGTGCACCAGGTGTTTGGGCCAGTTGTATCTGGCAGTGGCAGCAACACTCATTTGAGAACCAATAAGATAAGTTAAGGCAGTACAACAGTGATTCCCAACCAGGGTGCTGCTAAATTTAAAAAAGCCCTAACTTTAAATAGGTTGAGAACCACTGGTACAGAAGATAAACATATCCATAGGAGATGTCAGTTCTACAACAATACAGTACCAATGGATTTTCAATAAGCAAGTTAAAGCATACAGGTCCACTGTACTCTTCACGTTTTTAAAATCTAATTGAAGTCTACTGGAATACTACTTCCTTCCTTAGAGCCCTGTGATGACTGGGTCATTAATGTACAGAGTTTTGAAGACATAACACGGTCCATGCTCAATGTTATACTTTTGCACTATCTGAAGCAGTGCTCTCCTGTCATTTCTCATATATTTCTCATGTTATAACTTTGGTTTTAACATCAAATAAAATAGCCACCATGATCTGAATTTTAATTTCAAACTCCTGGCTTACCCTACATATTTTCTACCCACATCCTTTTTCCTCATTTTATCCTGCAATAACAATTTAGGGGCAAAACCAGCTGCACCCACTCCAGGCATTGTTCACCTCCAAAGGGGACTTAGGCCACAGCAAGTCATTCAGGTAACATTGTATCTTGCTGCAAGCAATACAGGTTCAGACATCATTGGCCATGAGAACAAAAAGTGTTTAAAACAACAAAAACAGTAATAATGAATATGCATTGATATGATACATGGAAACACTGTTCAGAATCTCTGTGACAAATTACCCAAGGCCACATTCCAGTACTTCTATATAGACTGAGTGATATCTAATTTGGCAAATACCTCTCCTTCATTCATTTAGATTATTTCAAGAGAGAAAGCTATTGCTCAACATAAATAAGGATATTGAAAGCTAGCTCTCAGTCTCCAATATTGTGGTTAATGGTGTCAATATTATGACACCCTGCAAAATACATCCTAACTTTGCATGTCACTCACTTACTCCATCATATATTTTATAGTAACATTTGAATCACTTCTTTGCAAACATAAGAAAATCTAAAAAAATTCTATCAGACTAGTGTTTTAAATGTCTCTGTCAGATAAACACACTTCAGTTGACAGCTACAAACAATGGACAGTTGATGCTAAGTCATAAATGTAATATATTAATTGCAGATTCTCTCCTGAAACTCTGGTTGGAAGCATTAGAGGACTATCATGGTAGAAAACTGAAGGTGTTAAACATTCATAATCGTAGTTGTCATTAGCACTGTGCCCTGTAATAAGTGAATAATAAGTACCCTACAATATAAGTTTTTAGATTTTGAATGGAATTCCACAAAGATTCCAGCACAGGGTAATGCTACTAATAAAGGTGACTTCAGCCATGTACAGATCTTCTGTTTCTACCAAGAGAATTGCCACTCTCCCAGTAGAAGCCACAAGTGTACAGACATTCCAGCTTTTTCTCTCAAAGCAAAAATTGTGGTTCCAGGAGGAAAATAGCCTGACTCCAACCAGGTAGAAGTTGCTCCTGGGAGAATGTATGTACACTTTCCCACGGCTTAACTCCTCCCAGGCACCAAGAGGTCTGCAGCTGTGGGGAAAAGCTCCCACGCCTTCCGAAGATTCTACCCTGGACTGGAGAAGGTGCAAGGGGGCACCTGCTTCTTCCCCTCCTGCAGACTGGGAGGGAGGAGAAACCAGATGCTCCCTACATGCTTCTCACACACTGGAGTCTTCAGTATGTGAAGCAGACAGGAGACTTTGCCATGCTGCTCCATCTGCTTGGGTCCTGGGCACCAGAGTTCCTGATGCGAGAAGTGGGCAGTGGGCTTTGCCCTGCTGCTCCAGTCTCCCTGGGATCATGCTTTCCCCAGACGGAATCACCCCAGTCTCAGGAATACACAAGGAGCATGGGTTGCAGCCTGAATGTTTGTAGTGCTCCCTGTAATAGGGAGAAAGGGCTCTTGTTACTTTATGAGAAACGAAGAAACAGGGCAAGATCTGCCATCTGGTGCAGACAGGTGAGCAAAGGCCAGCTGCTGGAAAGAAAACAGTTCCGAGGTGACAGGGCTGCAAACTATGACTGGCTATCCTGGAGTCAGCTGCCCTGCAACAAGCCACAAAGGGGCTAAACTCTAGGCAGTCAAATAAGTAAAGACTACAGAGCAGCTGGGGTGGATGCTATAGAGACAAGGAGGCTTATTAGTGGGCAAAGGAGAAATCCTTGTGTCTGATTTGTCAGCATCAGAAGATCAGATGACCAGAATGGGTGGAGCTCAGAGGAAGATAAACTCTACTCTTGAGCCACAGCAGGTAGTCCAGCCCTGACCTCTGAAGGAGGAGGAGCTCCGACAGAGTGGGGTTGTTGGAGAGAGTAAAACAGGCACTCAAGGTACCATAGAGAGCTAGAAGGAGACAGGTAGCGGTAGGAGTAGGATAGTGATTCAGAGTGGGGTTTAAGTATTTTAGTTTGAAGCAGTTTGCTTGTGTGTCTGTTCCTGTTTCTGACTGGAGGCTTGAGTTGTGGCTGCAGGGGCAGCTGGACACCACAGGTAGGTTGCCTGGGTGGTGCTCCATGCCATAAGGGGCTCAGGCCAAGATAGAGCCCGCAAGGGTCTGGGAACCAGTGGGCTGCATGGGATAAAGCCAAGTGGTTTGTAGGGTAAGAGAAAGTGTGCGGCCCTGCAAGGGCAAGGGACCTGCTGGGCTGAAACCAGGATAAGGCCAGAGGTCCCAGCGGATGGCAACAGTGAGACATGCCAGGCATGGGCATAGCTATGGGAAGGATGGAGGCCACAATTTATGCTCCTCAGGCATGATTAGGGCCATAGGGCAGTGGCAGCTGGAAGCAGAATAATTTTTATTAGTGGACTGAGGGTCCAGTGATGAGTAGAACCAAGGGTCCAGCTAAATAAGTTAAGTCAGACTAGAGCCAGCACTTTCAGGATCACTCCAGCACTCTGGGGCAGCTTCCCAACATAATATAACATTTATATCAAGGCATGGCAGGAGAAACAGCAAGGGGTATGCCAAGGAGCTGGAGCAGGGCAGCCCCAATGTGGCCATCGTGGGGTGCCACAGCCACACTCACGGGCCAGTCCTGTTGCACTCCTCCTGTAATCACTTCTAGTAGCAGAAATCTTCCATCACTAGAATTGATGGCTTGCATGTATCTTTTATCAAGCATGTTTAATGACTAGACAAAAGGAAAGTTGATTTTTTTTACTTGCAGAATTCATAAAAATTGTTTTTCTCAACACAACCTAAAACTTTCATATGTAACCTTTTTTTGTTCTCAGTGCCCTTTAACTTCTGGGTTTTGCAGGTGGGATTTAGAATGTACTGTTTAATGCACACATCCACTGACAATTGCTTTTGGCAATGCCAACAAGAGTCTAGATCTGAAATGTCACTGAGTTGCATACAATCTGTATGGCCACTGTCTTTTTAGGAAACAAAAACAAAACAGAAAAACCTTTTAAAAACAATGATTTTTTAAAAACCTCAGTAGCAGTTGTCAAAATAGCACAGCCCATTATTTCTACAAGGGTAACTCAGGTCACAATATAATGATATGCTTCCAACCTATCATTCATGACAGTAGGTATCTGAATATTAATAAAGATGTGCCTGTTCAACTAATACACATTTTTACACAACCTGAAATTAATGTAGTAATATTTGAGATGCTACATTTTCTCTTTCACTTTAACTCTTTTTCTGTGTAGTTTAACTGTCTTTCACTAAGTGAAGTATAAAGCAAAGAATACATACTGTTGCGTTTGCCTTCTTCGTCACCCTCCTCATTCTCAGGGTCAATGTCTTCTGCCTGGGTAATCCAGTCTAAATATCCTTTCAGATCCTCTTCAAGCTGCTGTTTTTCACGTAGCTTTTGAAAGTCCCCGCGGGCCTTGGCTTTTTCTCTTTCCTTGGAAAATTCTCTATTGAATTCAGATAAGACAGAACAAATATTGATTATGAGGCTGCCTGACATTCTGACCTAGAATTCTACACTGCAGAATAACATACTGATACAGCAAACGAACTACAGAAACTATATGGAAGATTTGACAATTTCTTTCAAAGCAGGATGGTGGTATCCAGAGTCAATATCTAAATTTCTTTAGTATTACACTTTATAAAACTGGTGATAGTATTGTTTATCAAAGTCAGAATTATTATGATTTAATTAAAACTTAAACATCATTCACAATTTCTTCAACTTATACTCCAGGCTTGGGCAATGTACTCCCAACAACAGTCTGAATTTTTATTTGTCTAAAGGCTACTAACTGAGACCATAACCATGTACTTATGAACTTAACTGAGTGTGCTAAGAGAAGACCCTACTTTAAAGACAATTGGGAGATGCTGGCAGACTATACCCAAGGTAAACATAAGTCAAAAAGGATCCCTCTAATATTAGCTTTGTGTCTAGCTCAAAACTGTCTATCTTTTTACACTGTATGTATACACTGCATTGTAGCACAGATATTCCCTGAGATGCTTTTACTTTTCCTTAGATTACATGCCAAAGCCAGTGTTTGTGAAGAATGTGAATGTTTTTCCCCTTTGCACTCTGGGATAGCCTCCCAAGCTCTGCTGTACTCATATCAGTGTTATGCTCTTTTACCTGGTTGTCCACTTCTCAGGACAAATAATTTAGTTTACCCTGTCTTTGATTCAGTTCATCCCCTCATTCATCAAACTGTTTTGAATAAACCCTGACTTCAGCTGTACATGTCTTACTACACTGCCTTTCAGGTGCAGTACTTGATTTTACTGAAGCAGTACTTGATTTTAGCAGTACTGAAGCATTACTTGATTTCAGGTGCAGTACTTGATTTTACTGCACTAGGTCTTTAACACTAGGTCTACAAAGGTTATCAAGGCACTCAGGGCAATACAGTGTATAAGCCCCATGTCTTCCTTTACTGGGTATTGAAACATATTTTGATTTGCTTATGTATCAATAGATATAATTAATTGTTCAAAAGCATGCTTTGCAAATGATATGGTACTGCCACTACAAGACTCATTAAAGGATGTGCCTTGTCGTAAATTTATCATTGGGCTTAATTTTGTCCTCAGATAGCCAGGCAATTTGTCAAGTAATGTCAACAAGAACGGTGCCCTTCTTTCTGGAAAAGAAATGTCTCTCATTTGGAAACTTAAATTTATTCCAGTGGAAAATTTTTAATCAGGTTCTCAGTGAACAAAAAAGAAGATTAACAAAGAAGTCGGGTTCTAAGAAGCTAAGAAATAACTATGCCAAATAGGGAGCCCACATATGGAAAAATGAGTATTCCAGATGAAGAAGCCCATCCTTACGCTTTCATTTTCATGAAATGCCCTTATATCTTGGGGAATGAGTGAAGGAGTTTTCAGTTTGGTCATTCACTAAAACATTAATACACCTTTGTATTAGAAGTGAAATAAAATAGAGTCAATTGTTCCTATGCAGACCAGATATCTGTACTTCAGCTGTGCTTGTAATCTAATTTCTAAAATCCAACAGTGGTTATTGCCTTGCACAAAAGATGAAAAAAATAAACATCCCCAGCAATACAACAACTGCAAAAGAAACTGCCAACAATTCTATACTGGGCGATTCTTTTCATTTCCTTCTTTCAACATTTTCTCGTGATCTGTATAATTTCAGAGTGAGAGATGAAGAGGAGTGGCTACTAGTTGCAAAGATTATGAGTAAGTACTTTACACATCTCTTCACACTGATCATAGAATTATAGAAAATTATGGTTGGAAGGACCCCAGGAGGTCATCTAGTCCAACCCCATACCCAAAGCAGGACCATCCCCAACTAGATCATCCCACCCAAGGCTTTGTATAGCCGGTCTTAACTATTTTGAAGGTTGGGGATTCCACAAAGTCTTTGGATTACCTGTTCCAGTGCCTTACTACCCTCCTAATGAGAGTTTTCCCTCATATCTAACCTAAACTTCCCTTGCTGCAACTTGAAACCATTGCTCCTTGTTCTATCATCTGCCACCACTGAGAACAGTCTAGCTCCATCCTTCAGGTAGTTGAAAGCTGCTATCAAATAACAGAATAATAGAAAATTAGGTTTGGAAGGGACCTCAGGAAGTCATCTAGTCCAACCCCCTGCTCAAAACAGGACCATCCCCAACTAGGTCATCCCAGCCAAAGCTTTGTCTAGCTGTGTTCTGAAAACCTCCAAGGATGGAGCTTCTACCACCTCTCTGGATAACCTGTTCCAATGTTTTACTAAATCCCCCCTCAGTCTTCTCTTCTCCAGACTAAAGAAACCCATTTCTCTCAGTTTCTCTTCCACAAGTCATGTGCTCCAGCCCCCTAACCACTTTCACTGGCCTTCTCCAATTTGTCCACATCCTTTCTGTAGTGGGGGGCTCAAAACTGGACCCATGACTCCAGATGTAGCCTCACCAGTGCTGAATAGAGGGAAATAATTACTTCCCTCATTCTGCTGGCAATGCTCCTACTAATGTAGCCCATTATGCTGTTAGCCTTCTTCACATATTCAGCTTAGTGTCCACTGTAACTACCAGGTCCTTTTCTGCAGCACTGCTGTTTAGCCAGTCAGTCCCTGGCCTGTAGTGGTGCATGGGGTTGTTCCGTCCTAAGTGCAAGACTTTCCACTTGTCTTTGTTGAACGTCATGAGATTTATTTTGGCCCAATCCTCTAATTTGTCAAGGTCTCTCCGAATCCCAGCCCCACCACGTGTCTATTACTTCCCCCCGCTTGATGTCATCTGCAAACTTGCTGAGGGTGCACTCCATCCCATCCTCCAGATTGTCAATGAAATTATTGAACAAAACAGGCCCCAGGACCAACTTCTGGGGTACTCCACTTGATACTAGCAACCAGCCAAACATCAATGATCCAGCAGCTTTCTATTCACCTTCCAGTCCATTCATACAACCTATAGTTCTTAGTTTGCTTACAAGAATGTTGTGGGAGACCGTATCAAAAGCCTTGCTGAAGTCAAGATATATAGCATCCACTGCCTTCCCTGCATCCATCGACTCAGTCATCTCTTCACAGAAGGCAATCAAGTTGGTCAGGTGTGATTTGCCCTTGGTGAATCCATGCTGACTGGTTTTCCCAACTGTTGGCACTGGATTTATAACCCAGATATCTTGTTCCAGGCAGACCCAAACCCTCAGACCAACCACAATCTCTCCATTCAATAATAGGCAAATTTTATTGATACACAGTGATAGCAGATAAGAATAATGTAAACAATTCTATATCTACCAGTCCTAAAGCTGAGGACGAGGAACGGTATGTCTGGCCAGTACGCAAGCTTCACCCTGAGGTTCTCTCTTGAATGTCAAGTGTCTGCAGCCTGGAGGTTGAGGGCTGAGACCCTCCCCACCCCAGTGCAGTGGATGAGACAGAATAGTGGTGTGCCCTCTGTCCATGGTAGCCTTGGGTTCCCCTCTCAGGGACCCTTTGCTGCTCTGAAATCCCTCCTTTTGTATTCTTTCTCCCTTCTGATGACTCATCTCTGGGCATCATTGATTGGTATCCCTGTAGTTGTCATACTGTTCACGTTCTTTCCTGTCAGCATATTTCCTTGTTCCAACAAATCTACCACATGCACACACCTTAAATTAGTTATTTACCAGGCCTCCTAATTTGGTCTGTTTACCAAAAAACAGAAATCCCATGGGCTCTGCAGTTGAGCACTATGACCTGGCATCAATGCTGCAGAGTCCCTTATCTCTGTTATGGAACAGTGTGGTACATGTCTTCAATGTCCCAGCCTGTGTGGCTGCTGACTTCAGACACAGTGGATCTGGAAGCAAACTTTGTCACAAACGGGCTTTTAAAAATCAATTAACCCTTGCCCTGGATCATTATTTCATAGATTTCATAGACATTAGGGCTGGAAGGGACCTTGCAAGATCATCAGGTCCAGCCCCCTTCCCAAGGGACAGAAAGTCTATAATGTTATCTACTTTATCTACAAGCCAATTCCTAAAAGCAAACCTAAATACTATTCTCTAGCCATCACTAGTCACCATCTTCACATCTAGGTGCTTAGAAATGGATTCCTTGAAGACCTGCTCCATGATTTTACCACGGACTGAGGTGAGGCTGACTGGTCTGTAGTTCCCTGGATCCTCCTTTTTCCTTTTCTTAAAGATGGGCATTATATTTTAATTTTTCCGATCATCCAGCACCTCCCCAGATTGCCATGAGTTTGATCTTCAAAGGAAAGGCACTTTAGCCTTCATATTAGCCCAATCCTTAGGCTTTGAAACAGCCTTGCAACTGTATTATTTGACAATTTCATGAAATGAATAAATGCCTCTTTTGTTTGGGGTTCACACTAAGATCTGAATCCAAGTTAGTGCATTCATACACCGACAGCCCTGTTCTTAGGTCCAAATTCAGTCCTTGATCAGACAAAATTATCATTGATTTCATTAACAAGGCAAGAACTTCAGGTTTCTGACCCAATGGATTAGAAAGGAAACCTATGAGTGTCAAACTAAACTATCATATATTTAGGGCAAGAATCTTAGCCCTAAACTGGGCTAATATATTGAAACAAATAATTTATTTAACACATTTCAAATCTTTTTCTCTTTGTGCTCAGACTGATTTTCTCAAGTGTACATTTTAGGAATGTAGTCACCAAAATATCAGAGTTTTTCTCAGACTGTAGATCATTCAAGAGTTGTTCACTGCAAGTATTCAAAACCCAAACCATTGTGCTGAGACACACTTATCAGCTGGCATATTTCTATGCATCAGTTGGAGGAAATCAAGTCTTAGATCTGACTACTGACAATTTCAAATTCTACATTTTCTTTCCCCAAATATTATACAAACTTGCTTGAAATTGGCTGTCTGAATTACTGTTGCTCTGAAAAAAATGCATTTGCTAGGATACTGTTGAAAGCAAACACAAGATAGGAGTGATAAGTC